ATAATAATAATAAAACAGTCTTTTATAGCATTCTTCTCATGGATGCCTTACGTCATTCATTCATACACACATTTACACACTGATGATGGTAAGCTTCACTGTAGCTACAGCTGCCCTGGATAGTTTAGTGTTTTATATGACAAGATTTCTTTAAACTTTTTTATCAGAATAAATATATTCAAGTCTTCAGCTACATCACATTTTTATTTTATTTTAATGAGCAGCAGTGACAGGATAATTTTGTAAATATCATTTTACATTAAGCACCATGGTATCACAATTAGTTCCACCTGTGCTTGGTTAATGAAGTCATCTATAAATAGAGCCTCACATTAATCTGAATTCCCACAATGTGGATTCTTGGAGATTACCCTTTCACGCCTCTTTGAGGCTCCCCTGTTGCATTTTTAACACTTTGTTTCTTTCTGCACCCTCGCAGTGCTGGCCTCGAAGCAGACATACATAGGCTACAGTAACCACGCCATCTAAGGAACTTTGGGAGAGGACCAAAGGCCTGCCGCAGGAGGAATCACTTGTTTTGAGGGCTTTACTGGAGAACTTTCAAGCTGCTGCAACAAAGAAGATGGACGTGGAAACAAAGGGGATTAATCACTTCAGAAGAATGCCAAATTTTTTGGAAGAGAATAAGGCTCGAATGCAATATTAATAAAAAGAGAAGATGGGAGAAGTAAAAGAGCTTGGACAGGTAATTTTCCTCTTCCCACCCTTTTTGCGACACAAGTGACCATGTTTTCAGGCAAAGGCTGAATGGACCACCTGGATCCTATAGTTTGTCTTTTTTTCTGAAGCGTACAGCACACAGTTTCAGTCCTCTCCAAGGCTGAATCATCTCATTTCAGCAAAACCAGGGAGTAAGTGTTGTGTTTTCATTTGTCAAATGCAGTTGGCAAGTTGGACCAGTATAAATCATGGTAATTATATTTTTGGTTACAGTTCTTAGTTGAGATGAAAGCTGCAGTACTCTTCAAACTGTACATGCCTTACTACAGCACACTCAGTATTCCTTCATGAACTAATCACATGGGAAACACAAAACTAAAGCAGCGGGACTAATCCCGTTTGTTTTATAAATGTTTCATAATGATGACGATCATCTTCTGGCAAACCTACTGTACAGTCCCAGTGCATGCTTATGGGAGCATCACGTGTACTGTGCTTTGTTATCAACGTCTATGGAATGCAACATTTGTCATGTTTGTCATTCACCATAAAGATGTCATTTTGAACCCGTTGGGTTTCATTCAGCTGGAAAAAAGCACACATAAAGAGCCAAAATACTCACAAATTGTTTTAAATGTCTTTACATTATGCTTCATTCAAATCATGACTTGGAGACCTACTAATGCATATGTTCAACAATATTGATTGGTTCCTATTTGTCTTACACTTTTGGGAGCTTTGGTTAAGCATACGTTGCAGAMTTGAAAATTTTAACTTTTGCAGCATTGAATATTTCACAAAGCTTGGACATCATAAAGCCCTGTCTACACAACTCCAAACGATAAAACTTTTTTTTCTGTCTTTATAAAAAAAATTCTCTGGCTACATTAATCTAATAGAAACACCCAAACTATGCCACTAGGTGTCAAGAATGTCCAAATTAATGACATGTCAAACTACAGAGTAAGAACATTATTAGCTTAATTCAAGATTCTCCTAAACCTTGTTTTTTTATGATAATATTTGCTGTTTCCTCTCAGTTTTTAACATTTTCAGCACATGATCAGAGTTTAATGGTGAAATTGTGGTTTTAGGACACAAACTCATTGGGCCTCATGCAAGAACATGTTCATATTCTTATCCTAAATTTCTCTTACTTTTGTTCGTACGAAGGGTTCGTA